AAGTTTAGTTCTGTCTTACCGTGTCATTGTCTGCCATTAAACACAGGAGTGAGGACTATGGTTAGAACCAAAGTGTCTATGTATTAGGGTGGGTGGGATTTCAACCTGTCTCTACAGTCCCAAAGGAAAAATGAGACCCTCTTTTATATTTCTGACCTGCTTTTCAAGACATAGTTAGGACTGCCCTCTTATCCTCCCTCTTTTAGTCTCAGCAGAGGAATTCCAGTGTCGTATCTACCTGCCCGACCAGTTTCACAATACTTGAGCCATGGACGCGCTACACTCACCTTCCCTCATGGTTCACGAGGAAACAATAAGCTGAAAATAGTCTTGCATCAAAATACCTTCCTTGTTGGAAAGTTATTAAAAGAATGTCACTGCTGTGCAATAGGCAGACCTAATGAATTGTAAAACAGTGGTGATTTACTTGAATGCTGTGTTCTCTCCACCCTATGTGTACAAACACAGTTATGCTTTGAGATAAAAATAGTTCTGTTGGATAAAATATGGACAACTAGTTGGACTAAAAGTTGTTTGACTTATCAGAGATTTTCAAAATATATTAAACTTCAATCATTGCAACCATTTTTGCAATAATTCAACTGTACAGGCCAGAAGTTGGGTAATCATTTTCTGTCACTCAGAGCTGTAGGCCTATCTCAGATTTCAAGTCAAAAGTCTAATTGCATGATACTTGTGGTACTTTGTACTTTTTTTATACTTGTGGTTTTGTTGGTTTCAAACACCTAGTTCAAAACGGTCTACAATTATAATAATGTTTAATTATACAAGCATTTCACACACAATAATTTAGCGCAATGAAACAAGGGTTAATTAAATAATGAAGGACAACTGAAAAGTTGAACGGAGATTTGAAATCACAGGAATAATTACATTTTAAAATATTTAAAATAGAAAGCAGTCATTTTAAATTATGACACTATTTTACAATATTACTAATGTTACTGTCTTTTTGATCAAATTAATGCAGCTTTGGTGGACATAAGAGCATAAAAACTCTTAAAAAAATAAAAATCTATATTTATAAAAGTAAGGGTGAGGGATTGTTATTGGGGAAAGTTGTCACATGTATTTTATACAGTGGCCTCTAAAACGCTTTGGACACTTTTGAACACACAAATGACAAATGTATTTTATGGTTATATATAATGTGTATATCTAATATAATGTATGTCAATACATTAGATATAAAAATATCCAACACGTGGCATTTTGCAAATTCTTGCAACATTTTCATCTTGCAATTGCAATTGCAATAAATAAAATAAAATAAAATAAAATAAAATAAAATAAAAAATAAAATAAAATATAAAATAAAATAAAATAAAATAAAATATAAAATAAAATAAAATAAAATAAAATATAAAATAAAATAAAATAAAATAAAATATAAAATAAAATAAAATAAAATAAAATATAAAATAAAATAAAATAAAATAAAATATAAAATAAAATAAAATAA